CCATCGCATCAATTGCAATACAGAACTTGACGTTTAGTATGACAGTCAACATACATTTTCAAAAGTGACCATTACAAATTTTTGAAAACGATTTATATAGTAAATATTAGAGGTCTGCTGCCCGTTTCTGGAAGGTCCCGAAAAGTTTTTGCACCCGAAAAGCCGTAGCAAAATCTCAAACCTTATGACTTCAGAGCTGTTTTAAGCACATATTCTTAATATGAGCAGAGGTTCCCTTCATATAAGAAGTTTCAGGCGTATACACCTCTCTGTCTTTAAATACCGATTGACTAAAAATGGCTTTGCGCCCGAAAAGTTTCCGGGGTTTTCGAGAAACGAGCCCCTGGAACCTATACTGAGAGAAATGAATGGAATATGGGATATTTAGATATTTAGAGTAGGAGAATTGGTAATATTTGCATTTGAAATCAAAGGGATATGGGATATGTAGGGCAAAAATTAACGGGATCTGGGATACTCAGATCCCATCCCCCCTTTTATTAGGGCCTCAGGATCGAAGTGCTAGCTCCCAAACAAGGTTCCCGGCAACCTTGGTTAATAAGCAGTTCGTTACACGAATTTACCATGGATGAGTTAAAATGGCGGTGTTGTGGAATTCATGCTACGGAGACCAAATTTTAGGTTACAACTGATAAGTCACCTGAGGCGGTACAGTAATAAGACCAAACTATTCCAGTAAAACGGAGGAAAATTTCAAAATAAGATCTTTCCACTGATGTCCGTGTAGGATTGAACGCAGTTATACGAATTTTAACAATGTTCTTCTCTGCATTTTCCTGTAGAATTGTAACTTAACAGGCTGTGACCTGCAAGATGCGAATCTTCGAGGCGCCAACATCACTGGAGCGACGATCGCTGAAATAACAGGACCTCTACACATGACAGCTTTTGTTAGAAACCAGCTCCCAGGCTCCGCTCTCTCTGTATCCTCGACGCCAGAGTCTTAAGCGAGAGGTTTATTTATTTACTGATAAGTTAAGCAACGGTCATGAGTGGAGGCGAAGGCCTGGAAGCTATCTTTTCAATGCCTGTCGCGTCTCATTTCGAAATGGTTGTCGGTTACCAAATGAGGCGAAAAAAAATCATGCGGATTGGAAGCAAAACGAAGACTACCAAGCAAGGAGAAACTTTTAAAGTCAATTGATCATTCAGTGAAAACAAACAACAGTAATTTCGATACTAAGGACGTGTTTGAGTGACAGATTATCCGT